AATAATCTACCTCAATCCACACCATCGAATTTTTTTCCTTAAATTTTTTCGACAAAATTAATCGATTTATTTTTCAAAGCCACGATAATTTTTAATAAAATCAATTTCAATAATCAATTACAATTTTCAAAATTCTCCTTAATCGAAACTTTTGCTCGCTTTTTCTTCGAAAAAAAAAAAGAAAAAAAAACGAATAATCTATCTCAATCCACACCATCGAATTTTTTTCCTTAAATTTTTTTCGACAAAATTAATCGATTTATTTTTCAAGGCCACGATAATTTTTAATAAAATCAATTTCAATAATCAATTACAATTTTCAAAATTCTCCTTAATCGAAACCTTTGCTCGCTTTTTCTTTGAAAAAAAAAAAGAAAAAAAAACGAATAATCTACCTCAATCCACACCATCGAATTTTTTTCCTTAAATTTTTTCGACAAAATTAATCAGTTTATTTTTCACGATAATTTTTAATAAAATCAATTTCAATAATCAATTACAATTTTCAAAATTCTTCGAAAAAAAAAAAACAATTTTCAATTCTCGGAAAAACAGGAGAACAAGTCCTTCGCGTCATCGTCGTTCTTTCCAAATCATAATTACTCCCGTAAAAAAAAAACGGGCGAGCAAACGCCTGGCGTTGCGCGTTTTTCCTCCTCCTCAATTGCGGCAATTACGCGTATTAGCAAATCTCGGCCGGGGCAGTTTCGTTACAAAGAGTAGCATTGTCGCCGCCAAGTGCATGGTTAATTGGGTGCAGTCGCGAGGACAATGATCAACAGGCGCATACGTGATACGTGGACAGAGGTAATAGATGCGTGTGCATTTAAAAGTTTTTCCAATCACGGCCCAAGGTCTGCTTCTACCATTTAAGATCGCCCAGCCACGTACGCCGTGTCACAGAAATCGAGCCGCAATTAACTAACGCTCGGTTGGCTTACGATCGCTCGCTTTAAGGTCGATCACTTTCACTCATTACGTTGGGAAATTCGATCACGGGCTCCGTCCTATTTGTAAACTTTGTAAACCACTTTGGCCCTCCCCGATGCGCAGGCTCGTTACCAAGATTCCCTCCAATTGTGATTTTGTTTGATGTAAAGTGATATATCTAAGGGATAAAAGTATCTTCTTTTCCATTTGTTTAATTTGTTATAATTTGATAGGTTTATTTATGTAAAAAAAGGCTTGTTTTATTATTCATTAGTTTCTCCGTAATTTTAATATGTCAAGTGTTTCATTAAGAAGATCGTTTGTATATTTCAATCTATCCGTTTGCAATTTTTAAAAAATTAAAAAACAAATCGTTCAAAGGGTGAAATTTTAACTTTTTTAAAAATTGAATATCTCAAATCTTATTTTGAATTTATTATTTTAATATATATATATATAGATCTTAGAATCTGACTCTCTCTTTTTTCCGATTCAAATGAATTCGATCAAATAATTAATTGATTGCAGTTCTTTCATTTAGTAGCGTTCAATTCGTTAAAACAAATTTTAATTATTTTTTAACGACGACAACCTCCCATTCGTCGAGTTAAAGAACCGGATTTGCTCGAAAAAGATCCGTATCACCTATGTTGCTCTCCTAATTGTATGCGTACTACGAACCCCAAGCACGATTTTTCCCTCTCTTCAATGGTTGGCACAGCAATGAAGCAGCGGCGCGCATTTGCCATGGCCGATCACTGGCGGATAAACGAGCGCGAGCCATTCACGATTTTTCTCATTTTATTGCGACACGTTATTTTGAAAGGCGCGGTCAGGTAAGAAATTTAACGATCGTCTGATGGCAAAACGATTCTCGTCGTATATAATATAAATTGATGAAAGGAATATAAAGGAATGCAAGTGTGAGCATACCCGCGCCCTCTACCGGCGCAATTTATGAACTAGTAATTTTTTCTCCCTAGTGAATTAATCTAGGGATCTAATGGAAAACAGAAGATACCTGGTGGATTTTTAAACTCTTTTGCTTCGGCATTCGGTTATTATAATTCTTGGAGTAGTAATCTTTAAAATTTTTAAATATTGATGGTAATTAACTTATGGAAAAATTAACTTAATTAAAATGAGGTGGTGGAAGATCTATTTAAAGCGTGAAAAAGGAGAAAGGTTGATAATGACTTGCACGATGCTCGCACTTTGCAAGATATATATCGCTCAGTTTGACAAAGATTGATTATATCTGATTATATCAGGGATTCACACGAAACTTATCGACCTATTAACATTTTGCTTAAAAGCATCGGTCTTACGTGTCTTCATGTTTGTAACTAGCAACGTATTTCCATAATATTTCTCTCTCGAAAATTAATCATGTGACATTTATTTAAAAAAATCAAATTGTTTTTTAAATATCAATATATAGATTTATTGTTTAAAAACGTAGATGATTTATCGTCCTGTCGTAAGTATTGAAAAAAATATCGAAAGATGAATATTTATTGTTGAATTTTCTTTACCTAGAGATCCCTAGATTTCTGTACCTATTTTTTTTTCCTTTCTGTACAAAGGCAAATCGATTCCATCCAAATTGATTATCTAATTTTTAAG